AAAGAAGCGGCGCAAAGCCAGCTTGACGTCAGCGACATTCTGAGTCTTACACAGTTCGAGATGCACAGCTCGCGACGAGGCACAGGTCAGCAGCAGTACCCATACCTTGTCGCCGCCCTTGACGTACATCGGACCGAAAAAGTCCACACCGACCCGGCTGAACGGACGGCTGGGCTCCGTCCTGAACAGGGGCAGCGCGCCATCAGCTGACCGGTACGGCGCACCCCGGTACCTCCGGCACCTGAAGCATGTACTGACCACACGATGAACAGTTCGTCTCCTCACACAGTATTCACCAGACAGCAGTGCCAGTGTGGTGCGGGTACCCTGGTGAAACGATTTACGGTGTGCATCATCCACTATCAAGGTGGTCAGATGGGCAAACTCAGGCAGAATGATCAGAGCAGGTTCGTGAGTTCGCGTGACAGCTTCCAGGACACCATCTGCGTTTAGACGAGGTCTGACCTTCTCGAGTCGCGAGTTGGGTGGCAGCGGCGCGCCTGCCGTCAGCGCCTCCAGCTCCGGCGCGTAGGCGGCACTCTGCGAGACCCGGATCCAGAACCGCAGCGCCTCCCGGCGCTCGTCGGGCGTCAGCGCTCCACTCCTCCTCTCCGTGCGCTGGTGCCTGGCGTTGTGCGCGAAACGAAGAATCCACGCGGTGCGGTTCACTGCCTGCTTGAGATGAGAACACCGAGTCACATCAAACGGTCCACGCATGACGTCCGGAATCGGATCAGGGCCACGCCCTCGTCTCACGGTCACGACCTGACGTCTGACCTCGGGCCTCGTCTCTGCTTCGGCTTCTGCTGAGGGAGGCGTCAGTAGCACTAACGAGGCATCATAGTCAGGCGGACTCAAATCAAATGGTGGACCCTTCCACCACTTGTCACAGGCGATGAGAGAGGTCAGCGTTACCCCTCTCGTGCCTATGTCAGCGGGGTTATCAGAGCCTCTGACGTACCTCCACTGGTCGGCGGTCGTCAACTGAAGCACAGTCTTCACCCGGTTCTCCACGAACATCTTGAGAGGCCGCCTCCGGTTGAGCCAGTGAAGCACGTCGGTCGAGTCGGACCAGTAGGTGACTGTTGCGCTCTCCAGATGCAGCGCGTTCTTGATGAAGTCCATCAACCTGGCTCCAACAACAGCGGCCATCAGCTCCAGCCTGGGGATCGTTAGATGTGGAGACAGGGGGGCCAGCCTACTCTTCGACATCACCAGGGCAGGCTCCCCACCCTGGACCACATACACCACCGCACAGTAGGCGGTCCGAGACGCGTCACAAAACACGTGAAAAGTCGCTCCGGACTGATCGTCACGCGCTCCGGCTAGGCGAGGGAACCAGATCACCCTCCCCGGCGAGTCTCTCCACCAGGCTCGGACCTCGGTCTGCAGCTCCCCACTCAGGGGACTATCCCATGTGCATTGAGCGTCAAGCCAGGTACGCTGAAACAGGGCCTTCCCCCAGATCAGCCACGGCGTCACCACGCCGAGCGGATCAAACGGTCTACTCACAGCAGATAGCAGCTCAGTCCGGGTGCCAGGGCAGGTCACCTGTGGCACGGTCACGGCCAAACGATCCGGTCTTGTGCTCCACAGTAGGCCGAGCACCTTCTCGTCCTCAGTGTCGTCACCAGACATCCTGGTCTTGTGAAGATCCATGGAGGCCTCGCTGAAGACGTCACCCATCTTCGTCAGTCCGGCCTCTGCCTCCGCCCTCGTACTGAAGGACGGGCACATGTCGTCCATGTAGACGGAATCCTGAACCTTCTGCAACAGAACAGGTTCATCGCGCAGACACCGGCGGACGTGCTCAGCGATAGTGCACAGCAGCATGTAGGGCGAACAGGTGAGTCCAAACGGGACCCTGCGAAACCTCAGCCGCTGGCCCGCCCACAGCAGCTGCACGAACTGACGGTCCTCCTCAGTGAGTACAATCTGATGGAAAGCTGCACGAATGTCCGTCTGACAACCCACGGCTCCTGAACGGAAGTTAAGTAGCACAGCTGGTAAACGATGCAGCAGGTTCTCTCCCGGCTCAAGGTAGGAGTTCAGGCTCATACCTGCACCGTCTGGCGCTGATCCATCGAACACCACTCGCAGTTTGCCGTTGCGGTGCAGTCCTCGATGCGGTAAGATGAACTCTGATGGCGGACTCGGCAGCGCGGGCTCGATGACAGCGTCTTCCAGCAGCTGATGCAGGTGGTCATCGTACTCCTGGAACTGTTCAACATTCAACTTCTCTGTCATACGGTGAGTCCGGGTCTTCGATAACATCAGGTTAGACACTGGGCGCTGGTCGGACTTCCATACTAGCCCCATCTCATACCTGTTCTCGGTGGCGTTCCAAGTCGGTACAGGTGGGTCTCTCTCGGCGGTCTCCTCTGCGGCGACTCCCACAGCGTCCAGCGTCCACATTCGCTCGACGTCAACCAGCTGACAGCGGTAGGCGTGCCGCTGCCGGGTCGTCTGCTGGCCTGGGGACTGTCCGTGGAGCACATACCCAAACACAGTCTCCACCAGACGGAGGCCAGGATTCACCTCCACCTGGTTCCACAACACCACCTTGTACAGCTGATCACACCCAATTAGAACATCAACAGGTCCGTCACGGAAGTCATCAGCAAGCTCTACACTTGGGGGCAGAGACTGAATGGGTGGTGGAGCTCCCACGGGCGCACACAGCTTATCAGTTCTCCAGAACACAAGCTTGGCCTCACCTTTCTGGTATCCAGTGAGCCGCGCGCTTACTTGGTCGTACTGGTGAGCCTCCTCAACTCTCTCCTTGAATCCGACGCACGCGAAGGTCCCCTGGCCGATTTTCTCGAGTCCCAGCTGGTCAGCCAGTGAAGCCCGGATGAAGGAGGCGTCTGCCCCGCCGTCAATCAGCGCGCGTACTAGACGCACGCCCCGAGGACCAGCCACCTCCACGAGCGCTGTCTGCACGTAGCAGTGCTGCTGGCTCCGCACGCCCATGCACATCCGTCCCTGGTTGGCAGAAAAAGTACCAGCAGCAGCGGGGGGCGGCAATGGTCTGCGATCAGGCATGCGACTCTCAGACACAGCAGCAGCGGCAGGGGGTGACAGTTGTCCGCGATCAGGTACACATCTCTCAGTAGGCATGAGGGCTGCATGCTCTCCGGGCGGTGGGTGCAATGACGAGTGGTGCGGGCCACCACACCACGGGCATCGGGTGCTGTGGCAAGCACGCAGCAGATGGGGACCAAGACACTGGTAGCAGAGCTTAGCTTGGCGCACAACATCCCAGCGAACAGGCACAGTCATGGTGCGGTAGGCCAAACACGCAGCCAGGCCATGCTTACCCGTTCCGCATGCCAGACATACCCAGTCAGGTCCCTTCTTCTGCCTCACGTTCAGCATGCTGACTGTCGGCTTCCCAGGTACTGCGGTAGGTGGCTGCTCACTGGTGGTCCTCTTCCTCCGAGCAGCTGCCTCCTCCCTGATGCTCATCTCCTTCTGCAGGAACTTCAGGAAGACTGTGAGTTCATCAGATGAGTCAGCACTGCATCTCAGCCACTCAATCTTCCATGACTCAGGGATGCACGACAATAGCACAGGCATCAGCAGGACAGCATATGAGTCAGGCAACACGTTCATCGTCTCCAGCGCCCTGACCTCAGAAACTAGCCCATCAATCATGCGGCGCAAGCGGACCAAGTCATTGTCACTGTGCACAGGGGTGGTGGACAACAATCTCTGCATCAGCACCTTAATGCACAAATCTGGGCGATCAAACCTTTCCTTCAGGGTCTCCACAGCCTTCAAGTAGCCCTGGTCAGTGATGGGAAGACCCTGCACAGCCACCTCAGCCTGATCGACGAGGTGCGCCTTCAAGTGCACCAGCTTTTCGACAGGTGCATAAGCAGGGTTGTCATGGACAGATACACAGAACAGGCTCCAGAACTCTGACCACTTTTCCACATCCCCACAGAACTTGGGCAGCTTCAGGTCCAGCTTTCCCCCCAGGTAAGGCGGCACACACTGAGCCCTTCCAACAGAGACCTCAGAGCTCCTTTCCAGACGAGCAAGCACACGCTTAGCTTTGAAAATCTGATCCTGCATATCCTGAACATGCGAGGTATCATCAGGCACAGACAGCTTTGTCAGGCTCACCTGGATCTCGGTCATCAGATCAACGTGCTGCTCAAGGTGGTGTATTGCCAAGGCAAGGTCGTCCTCTTGAGAATTATCACATTCGGCAAGCTCTTTCATCAGTCTGGTTGCCTTACCTCGAGCCACAGTACTTTTCTGTTTAAGCTGTGCCTCACTCTCCATCTTGATATACACAATTCACAAGTCAATCTCAGTCTTGATCAGTCAAAATCAATCAGCAAATCATCAAAGAAGCAAATTTAACAGAAATCAAAAGTCATCCGGCCCGGAGGACTATGTTGAAAATCAAAATGAAATAAATAGGGCCGGCTCTCTGGTTTGACTTTAAAAAACTTGAATATATGAGCACTTCAATTATATTGGTGGCGGTGGTGGCAGCAGATAGCACACTGGCGGTACACGACCTCACACGGCGGCGGTGGCGACAGAACTCAGAACGAAATACGACAACAAAGCGAAATCGGCGCGGTTAGGAAAAATATTCGTGAAGGATGCAGGGGTTACCAAATGGGCTGCCATAGGTAAAATAAAATGACGAGGCGTAAAGGAAAGGTAGGATACAACACAGTAACGGTGGAAAACAAATACAGTACGGTAACATGAGGAGAAAAAAAGGTCACAGGGCAGTAACGAATAGCGACAGAGAGAGAGAGAGAGAGAGAGAGAGAGAGAGAGAGGGGGAGGGAGGGAGGGAGGGATGGAGGGAAAGAGAGAATGAAGGCAAGAAAGAAAGAATAGAGATAAAAGAGAGATACGGAGAAATAATGAGAAGAAGAATTAGAGAGATTATGGGAAAGAAAGTTGCAGAAAGTCAGAAAATAATTACTCTGTGCCTTATTTTTCTGACAACACCATTTTGTTTGTTTCAGAGCCGCGAGTAGAGATAATCGGCGGTCCCGAGCTCTACATCGACAGGGGGAGCAGGGCCAACCTCACCTGCGTCATCACAAAGGCGCACAAGGTGCCGAAACACGTCCGGTGGACGCACGACAACAAGGTAAGATGTAGGCTACAGCGACAGCCCCATAGCCTGCACTTCTAATCTTGCACCTCTAATATCTCGCCATCTTTGTCGTCACTCGTCCGTTCACAAAGACCGAGTGGAAGGCTGGTCGCTGTATCATTTCTCTGGCTTCACTGATCAGGTCGGTTTCGTCACTTCTGGGCTTTGCTCGCAGAATCACCTGCCTCGGGCAAGCGGAGCATTAGCACAGGCCTGATATGAGCATGTCGGCAATGTGTTGCAATGATGATATGTCGTGTTTTGAAAGCCTGGCTTTCCTCATCCCTGGGCATATTGGTGAACGGAACTGCGGCCTGCGAGTGACAATGTATTGCGTTCTTCCTCACTCCTGGAGTCCTGGGGCATCCATAATTCAGGCGAGCTCATTCTTTAACCCTCGCCCGTAAACGGCGATCTGCCACCTTCGCCCATGCAGGGGGGGTTGGTGCGACCCCCCCTTGGCGTTTGAAAACGAAGCGTCGTAAAGCTTAGAGGAAAAGACCAACGGATTGCTCTCGCCGAGATCTCGCGATTGGTGGTATATTTATTGGTCCTAGGTCAACATTTGACCTACTTTTGACCGGTCAAAGGTCAAATTTTCGGAAAAATATACTTTTTTCAACTTTCGGCGGCGATTGCGGCAAAACGGTGGGAGATATCGACTTGAAACCTTCACTATCGTGTTCCTTGATCAATTCTCTATCGTTTGGTATGTATTTCGTTTCCCTAGCTCTAAAAATGGCGCGTTGGGAGCGCCGGAAGTCGGCAAGGTCACAGTCGGCGGCAGAAATTCGAAAAATCAAAATTTAAATTTTTGAAATCTGATTGTAGTTTTGGATTTGGAAGGTCCATTTGCTCCCTATAGAAGCTAATATTGCTGCATATTCCCATTGAGGTGACAAGAATTAGCAAAATAGTGGTTCGGGCGCTTTTCAAAAATAGTACCGGACGCTGTTCCTCTTGTGACGTCATAGCTCCGTGACCTGACCTGACCCGGTCAAGTTTCTTATACCATATGATATCCAATACTTGCCCCAACATGCATGGGAAGTTTCATCACGATCCATCAACCGATGTCCGTACCACCGGCAGGAAACCTCGGGCGTTGGCACTCAGTTTGTGAAAATCCGGCCGGAGGCTGTTCCCTTTGTGACGTCATAACTCCGTGACCTGACATGACCCGGTCAAATTTTTTTTATCAAAAGATGCGCAAGGTTTGCCCCATAAGGTAACCAAAATTTGGCGGCGCTGCGCGCCGCCGTTTTTGCACTATTTCCGAAAAACCTCAGGGGGGGTTGCACCAACCCCCCCCCCTACATGGGCGAGGGTTAAATGTTACACGGTATGCAGCAACAAATCCCCACTGCCTTTTGCTGCATTTTTCGGTCCTGCAGTAGTTTGCAATGGTAGTAAAGGTCCCATAAAGTCACATCAGCCAACATCAAGCAGGTTATGATTAAATAAAACGCGAGAAAACAGTCCAATAAAACCAGGGAACGAGTCTAATACCTTCATACTGACAGTTTGATCACAGGTCAACGAGTACCGACTGTCGGCTGAAAACTCATAGAATGCATCCCAGTTCATCATATTAGACTGTGATGAAGCCGAAAATTACAGATCACCATAGGAAAGGAATAGTCATAGGAAAATGGTATAAAAGAAACCCCTTGCTCGTTACCTGCGTCCTAACATGACCGTTACATCATCGATAGCAAAAAAAAAGCGATTCAGCACGTGTAATAAATCATATAATAATATAATAAAAAAATCATATAGATAAAAGGACAAATTTAAATAGGCACATGTTTAAATTCAATATAAAAGTAATGAACCTATTGCAGCGTGGACAAGCAGATGTACCAGCTCTGCTACAGTTAACAGCTTTCGTGATCCTCTGACGTTCAATTTGTGCCTGAAATTGCCAGCTTATGTCTGCTGTTGATCATCTTTCATAGAAGTTTGTAAATCGGATTTACCCAGTACCCAGCTTTCTACACCTGCCGTCGAAATTGAGCAAGACTGCAATCTATCGTGTCCACATACCGACTTTCTGTCGAAGTGCATGCGTCTCTGCTGCTGCTTTCCCATGTCACCGGAATTCCAATGACCATCACACACCAGCACCATCCATCGGTCAAAGAACATCGGCCATTTTAAGCAGGGCGCGATGGCGCTATTTTTGTCTGTCAGTGACAAAATGTTGCGCCCGATCGCGCCATAAATCGCACCAGCGATGTGTCCACCGCAGCTGGGCGAGCGCTAACTGATGAGTGGGCCCTGCTAGTTGGCGAAACGCCATCCATTTCGGCTGAATATCGGCCCCGGCGGCGCTGGCATCCATTGGATGTGCGTTTCTCCAGCAACAAAGACATTTGGCCATGTGAACATGTCGATCGGGCCACCGTGCCGACGCGTGCATTTGTTTGATGGGTGGGTATATGCGGGTATATATCTCTTGGCCCCGACAAGTGGAATTGAGATATACGGCTTCAGTGTCAGGATGCCCACTCCCATCGGGCGGGCCGTTTGGGTCCGGGCTGGCAGCAGCATTGGCTGAATGCTGGATTTGTACTGCAGACTGCTGTGGGTGTGCTGTGTCTTGCGAGACACTTACAATCAAAATAATGTATATCAGAGTTGTCACTTGTCACATTGCCTTGGTCATGTATTGACCCCCCAAATCAGCCAAATTTGTATGCTTTTGAAAAACGCCTAACACAGAACACACATCTACCTTCTTGGACAAAGAACCAGTACATCATTTTTAAATTTGGGTGTTTTTTTTTAGCTGAATTCGGCTGGACTTGGTAAGTTAGTTATTAAGTCATAACCAAGATATCACCAGCAGTGTCTCCCACGCGGTAACTTCACGTCTGCAGCATTAGAAAAGTTGCATGCAAACTTTGTCTCTGATATACCAATTTGTCTCATTCTTCAAAATCAAAGCAAGTTTGTTAAGAATTTGCATATCAGAGGCGTCCGTTGGAATGCAAATGGTGGCATCAAAACACTGCGACGCGCACAAATGGACATCATTTGGTCTACGAGAACTTGGCTTTATGTGGACTACGCCATTCAACGCTCGCAGAGATTCAGCGACAAAAAAAGAACGAGCTGGTAATTCACCTAAATATTGTAAGCAGAACGCGCCATTCGCTAAGAACATTGCTGTCCTCGTATACCGTGCATTAGATGTTAAAAATCATATGTTTTATACCAATTAAGCAAGTGGAAAATTAACCAATAAATAGATAAATCAATTTTAGGCGTTATAGCATTTGCTGTTTACCATAAACAATATTTGCTATAATCAATTGACCCTAAACGGTGCTATGATGTTATCAACTAAGTTTTTAATAAACTACTGGTCATAATGGAAATCAGATGGATTAGTAACCTTTTGCTCATAACTAATGTAAACCAAAAACAAATCCAAAATATATTTTCGGTGCAGTCAAAACTCGTAACCGTAGGAAAGAAGATCAGGGACATCAACAACCCTCTGCCAAAAGTGACACTACCTACATAAGTCTCCCCTATGTTGATGACAGTCTGTCAAACAAAATTAACAGCATAGTTAATTTTCAGCCCAACCCTGGCTGAAAAGTTGACGAACTCAGCCCTGGAGAGCCCACCATGCCCATCAGGCAACAAAAAGTGTCAATGCTGTATGTCAGGAGTAAAGGGAAAATGTCACACTAGGAACGCTGTGTACATGGTAACATGCCTACTGTGTAACACAGAGACTTTCTACATCGGGGAAAGCAAGCGTAGTGTGAGACTTCGATTTAACGAACATCTCCGAGATGCAAAAAACAAAACTAAAAACACACCATTTGGAGAGCATTTCACCCGAGCGCACCCAAACGTTCAAGTGACGGAAGGCGCCCTTTCCATTTCGATTCTCCAGGTCTGCAAAGACATGGCAGAGCTAAAGATCACTGAATCCTTAGAAATTCGCAATCGCAAACCGGCGCTCAACATTATGACATCATCTTGGACGCTGATCAAACCTGTGCCCTACTCTGAACTATGAGTACATAGTAAATGCCACCTTCACACACATACACACCCACACCCACACCCACCTATACACTTGCACCCCCCCCCCACACACACACAAACACATTCAGTTGCGCAAACAGGCATGAACTTGAACATATTTATTTACACTTGAACACACACACAGGGCCCACTCTTTATGTTATAGGCCCATTGAAGAGTACGTGTCTGTATTTTGTATGCACTACACACCATTTACGAAGTGTTTGATGCTAACGTATGTGAATGATCTTTACTTGTTAGATACCGTGTGTCTGCTACATACTGATATCGCTCATTTAGACCTGTACGTGATACATATGTATGTACCATATATCATAGCGATTTGATATTATGCTGTCCAAAGTTTTCCAGTATCTAATGTCTTATGTTTGATGCCTTCAAAAATCTGGATGTTTCATATGAATGTGATGCGTTTTCTCGGAAGTAGCTTTATTAGCGTTGCGAGTGCGTACTTACTTATCATGATTTAAAATGTGTCACTCTTTCGTGTTTTTGTCATTCCACTGAAGAAGGTCCAGCACCGAAAATATATTTTGGATTTGTTTTTGGCTTACATTAGTTATGAGCAAAAGGTTACTAATCCATCTGATTTCCATTATAATCATAATCATGCTAAAAAAAAACGTTTCACACCATTCAACTACTGGTCATGTGCAAATAAATGACCGCTTCACCATATTGCCATTCCATTGCTATTGCTCTAACTTTCCGCAGCCGTTCTGACCTCTGACTGCCTACCATTGAAATCTGACTTTGACCCCTGCTTCACACCTGATCTGACATTTAACCCCTGCTTCACACCTGATATGACATTTGACCCCTGCTTCACACCTGATCTGACATTTGACCCCTGCTTCACACCTGATCTGACATTTGACCCCTGCTTCACACCTGATCTGACATTTGACCCCTGCTCTTGACTTGGTCTGACCTCTGTCCCTTGCCCGGGAGCTGTTCTGACCTCTGACCTCTGACCTCTGCCCCACAGTTGGTGCAATTTGACCGGGCACGGGACGGAGTCAACGTCAAGATATCTTACGAGCGAGATCGCACGATCAGCTTTTTCAGCATCGACCGGGTCCTGCCGTCTGATTCGGGCGCATATTTCTGCGATCCTGATGGCCTCAGTCAGGTCAAAGTCATCCTACACGTACTCAACGGTAAGTGATCAGCTCGAAAAGCACAACACCAAACGTGCCACACAAACCTCACTCACAGAATTCATCCAATCAACACGGCGTATTTGCTTTCAGCCTCCCTGTTCCATTTGGCTCTCGGGCTGCCGTCAGGTAGGCCCATCAGCGGCGCTAGAACAACACTTTGACAAACAGGGGCCGTGACGGGAGCCATTCTCGTCGGGGCGCCGCCACACAGCAGCTGAAGGTCTCCATAACAGCCGAGCTGGCTCCCTGTCGACTGAGAATCAACAAGGAATGATCCGTGGGACGCGCCGGTGGGCCGGCTGGTAGGTCCCAGGCACTTCCAGGGAGCAGGTTGCGGGGTGGTTGGTGTAATGGATGTTTAGTGTTTGTTTGGAGATACCCTTGGATGTTCAGTTATTTTATGACGGAGGGAAGTTATGATCGCGCTGCTGCGTTAGTACTCAATCATCGGACTTGACGAACTCAAATTGCGCCGTAAATGAGAATTGTTGTCACTCTTTCCCAAAAGTGGTGTATCCACCCATCTCCTGGTGGCTTATCGTTTTCCTTTACGGTGACTCATACATTTGTATCACGCTACCAGGCAGCATCGGTCGGTCTGACCGTCCTATCCGCATCTATATATTGTGCAGCACTCCGTGACTCCGGACTCCTGTGACCAGCCAGTAACGATTTATGATAGGATGACGTTCTGCAGTAATAGGTCGCTGATGGGTCGATGATAATCCAAAGTCCATTGAAGGCTCAGCCCGGTGTCGTTGCAGTCCATAAAGTGCGCAGGTATGACGTGCATTGGCAATCAGCAGCGGCGGCTCGACCAGCGCTTGGCCGCCGGCGGCTCGGCCGACATTGATTTTGCTCGCCGGAGCTGTGCGATGAACAGAACTGCAGTCGTTTCAGGCGTGCTTCAGTCGAGGGGCTGCTCGATGACTTCGGGCGGCCTCGCCTCGAGTGCGCTGCATTACGGACGTTCTCAGTATACTTGTTCTCCAATGCGCTTAGCGAAATGACTTCCCAACGTCTGGCGACTAGGTTCGCAGAGCGAGGATGGAATCTACCCGTGGGAGACGAGCATGTTGCCGGAATGGATGACTGAGGCGGACTCAGCAGATATTGGAGCCGTAGCTGACTCATCACAATTCACAGCGCTTTTTGTCTTTACTTTCAGTGCCAGATGACATCAGCTTTTGTTTTGTCGTAGCACCAATAATCGTAACATCAAGACATCATAAATCCCATGATAGTAGGTACTGCTTTCTCACGAATCAATACAATACAAATACTCAACGGTCACCTCGGCTTTTTCTTGATAGTAAATATGACGCATAGACCTCTGTACAACTCTCAGTGCACAGATGTCTATGTATAGCTATAAAGTGCATTGTAGACTTTCCGGAAAACATTTGTACTTTTTCCAGCTTGTTTTGACTATGTCATCCGAAAACACATTTACGACGCTGCACAATCTTTTATAAGAGAAGGTTACCCGACAACATCTGCTTCGTAAAGTGATGCACGAAATTTTTGCCTACTTTCCTTATTTCTTTTTGCATTTATGAAGAGTCAACTAATTTTGACTAGACATCGCCTACATGTAAATCCTTTCATGGCCTGCTCGGCGACTACCCGTATTTAGCGGCTCACTGAAGCATGAAATGATGCTTTCAGAGCGGACGCCTGTGCTAAGCGCCTTTAGGAGACTGTCGACACACTGTATAGCTCTGAATAAATGGCAGCTCATATTCAGAGACAACGTGCTGTGCTTGACAACACATGTCAAGTTTTTATATCGTTTGCTGTAAGAACATGAAGGCATCAAGACAAAGTGAAATGTCAAACGATAAAACTTATTTTGCATATGCTGCCATCCGTCTTATGTCGGAAAGCAGCCATTGTCTCTCTCTCTCTCTCTCTCTCTCTCTCTCTCTCTCTCTCTCTCTCTCTCTCTCTCTCTCTCTCTCTCTCTCTCTCTCTCTCTCTCTCTCTCTCTCTCTCTCTCTCTCTCTCTCTCTCTCTCTCTCTCTCTCTCTCTCTCTCTCTCTCTCTCTCTCTCTCTCTCTCTCTCTCTCTCTCTCTCTCTCTCTCTCTCTCTCTCTCTCTCCTCTCTCTCTCTCTCTCTCTCTCTCTCTCTCTCTCTCTCTCTCTCTCTCTCTCTCTCTCTCTCTCTCTCTCTCTCTCTCTCTCTCTCTCTCTCTCTCTCTCTCTCTCTCTCTCTCTCTCTCTCTCTCTCTCTCTCTCTCTCTCTCTCTCTCTCTCTCTCTCTCTCTCTCTCTCTCTCTCTCTCTCTCTCTCTCTCTCTCTCTCTCTCTCTCTCTCTCTCTCTCTCTCTCTCTCTCTCTCTCTCTCTCTCTCTCTCTCTCTCTCTCTCTCTCTCTCTCTCTCTCTCTTTCTGAATTGATCAATCAATTAGCTCTGAAAATGAGGTGAGAAAACGCATGACAAATACCTACAGAGACATTTAGGATGTCTGGAGGAATTAAGAAAGGTTGAGTCAGTTTCACCCAGGGGACGCACTCGGCAGGAATTTAAAAGAACTGGCACAGTGAGGCGGAAAGAAAGAGCTAAAGGAAGGGAAGTGCAAAGTGCATAACTGATGTAGATGTAGATGTAGATCGGGGTATAGCCTTTGTAACGGCATCCCTTGTTTCTTCACTGTCACTTTAGCCATGAATATGGATGCTACGACTAAGCAGGTTGACTAAGCAGTAAGCACTAAATCCCGAACTATAAGGGTAGGCACTTCACCGAACACACTTCGGCTTGGTGTAGCAAGTATGGAAGGACTAACTCTTCAAATGTTCCTAGGTCAAGCGATCAGTTCCCCGATGGTTAAGAACGGGAGAGCTGATCTAGATCGAAGGTAGGGCGAATTTTCGGCCAGCCCGCCGGCAGACTTCCGTGCAGACAAAGCCGGCGCAGCGTGCCGACCAGCGCGGCGCTGATGGCGCTGCACGCGCGCCGTTTTTGTCTCCTGCGCCGATTGATCGAACCAGCGACGGGCCGGGGTCGTATGCGACGCCCCTCCGAACCGGAACACGGCGAGCTTCGAAGAAAGCTGATTTGGCGTCGCCCCGGTTGTAGGAAGTAGAGCTACGGTATTGCAATAGGATGAACAACTTTCCGAATCAATTAGGATCGGTTGTTCTATCAGCGACTTAAAACGGTTAGTCATATGTATTGCATATTCTACTGATATAGATCGGCTCTAAGAAATGAACTTGACATATTATTCACCGTCATAATCCTAGAAATCCCACAATTTGTGTATCATGTTTTTAATAGATTTAGTCAGAAGTCAGAAACTTTTGAGTGGAAGATTTCACAAGGACAGCGCCCCTGCTGAGCGAAGCTTGTTGCGTTGGCCCTGCCCTCTACCCTCTGATCGCGCAATTCCGGTTCTATGGCAGAATTTGTAGTCCAAAAATAAACGTGCGCACATAGCCACGCACGGCCGGTCCCCTTACTGATTGCCTGGCTACGGCCTGCCACCAACCGCAACCATACCTGTCAGGAGGCCCATAAACGTCAAGCGCCCGTCGCGCTTCGAACGCGGACTGTTATAACCGGGAACGCGTGCTCTCACTACGTGGAGTCCAACGCCCTACCAACTGAGATGATGGGTAAAGGTACACATTGGCTTTCCCTAGCGATGAACATTGCTTTGCTGGAAGCGAAATGATATAATGCCTATATTTTTACTGCTTTTAGTTGAACATGTTGCTACGTTATGTGCATCTAACGAAATTTGAGAACTATCACTTCACTTTAGAAGTTCGTATATTTTTTTCAGTGGATACATCAATTTCAGAGAAGCATGAAAGTCACCCTCGAAATAAGATCCCCTCTGCTCAAGGCACTTGTTATAGCTCTGCAGCCAATTCTTGAAGGCCTGCTGGTAGCCCTTCAAAGTGAAGGTGCCTCAGTCACAGCCTCCTTCATCTCCTCCACGTCCTCAAAACGGCGGCCCCTGAGCTTCTCTTTCAGTATGGACTATGGAGAACTTCCCAGAAGTTACGCATTTCATTTCTACACAATTTTGTTCCAAGCATATCCAAACCAATTTTGATTGACTGAGACTTCGCATTCAACTAAAAACATCTGCTGGATACACACATACATCAATGAGGAGCACGTATGCACAATGGTTACATAGCCATGGGTATCCTGAATTCGTCCTGAAAAGTTTTCACCTCCCAAACCAGAGAATGTAACCTACCACGTTAGGGCGTAACTTTGCGTGGACGTGTGGGGAGGCCCAACGGACGTGAGGCGAGTGACTGATATCTTGCACAGCCTGTCATGTCTGATAGCTACGCGGAATAGAGATGCATTTTGGCTCGCTGAGTTTATTTTTGCATTATTTTGTCCATGATAAGCACGTAGCCAATGCGCGCTATGATGTTCTTTTAGGTTAAGCTCGCTGATATTTGCCGTTAATTATGAACAATATTTCATATTTTCCGATAGGACACCTTTATGGAACCATTCATTCACCAACCGTTTCCGGCATGAGCGTCAGCAAAACTTTTCGTCGGTCTGATTAGGAAACCAGCTCACGGCCGGGCATCTCATATTGAAAGGCGTGCCCGATGCCCCGCGGCGCCGGGGGCCGCCTGCTGAGTCTGGGACGAGACTGCAGCGGGGCCGGGGCGGCCGATTGAGGCACGCGACACAGACACCGGGAACTCGAACGGTCACCAATCGACCGGGAACGCAGGCCGACCCGACTGCCCGCGCGGAGCACGGGACCCGGGGAACGACCCGACAGACAGTCCGGCTTTGGACGGCTCGTGTCAATCGTCGATGCTTACATAACCGTATTTCATAAATTATTAGCACCATTTAGCACGCATGCCAATCGTGAGGAAGCAGGTGATATGAGCAAAGCAAATGCGCATTGCATACTGATTGCTACATGATGCAACTGTAATGGTTGTGTCAGTAGTAGTAAACATACATCCAGACACGAACATCACGCATAAAATAATAATGATAGA